TCGAGAAGCTTCATAGTTCTTGGGAAGCTTCTTGATGCGCTTCCTTAGAACCATAGGCCAGTAGTATATATAGGAGTCGAGGCTGAAGAGTTCTTCAGTCTCGACAACGCATCTCTTGAAGCTCTAGCTCAATTCTCTTGGCGTTACTCTTGTACTCATCTGATAATCTAGTTCTTGTCATTTCTTCTTGAACTTCTTGTTTAGATTTCTTGTTTGTATTTTTGGTCCGTGACAAGAAGGAGCTCAATTATTATTTGAACCAATCTAGAGTTTATCACAAAATGAGTTGGCTGAATTTAAAGAATATTTTAAATAAAATTTGACCAAAAATTTTATATGCCATTCCAAATTTCTAATAGGAATTCCATGCTTATTTGTAAAGAAAAAATATGGATCATTACAAATGTGTGTGAATTATTGAAGACTTAAGAAGATCACCATTAAGAATAGGTATCTTTTATCTTTAATGTCTAGACTTCTTAATCAAATAAATCAAGCTAAGATCTATACAAAAATAAATCTACAAGGATCATAAACTATTTTTTATAAGAAATTGGTGATCTTCTTCTATGGCCTTCTCCTACTTGATTGTATTTTAGGATTTCATGGTATCATACAAAGAAAAAGAATTAGCATAGAGATCAATATTTGGATATTCTTTACTTGCTTAATGAAAGATGTAGTTCTTCTAGTATTCACCAAATGGTTTTTTTTTTTATTAAATATTTTTTTATTATCTAAAAAAAATTGATCTTATTGATTACCATTGTTTCTAATAAGTTTCTTCTTTCTTAAGAAATGTCTCCTCTTAATTAAAGACTAATCTTCATGTACTACATCTTTTTTTTATTAATGAATCATCTTTGATTAATTTTAGAATTGATGAAGTCTTATATTTAGAAATTTTAGGTTCTTCATTTAATATCATTGCTTCTTTTTCTTCTTCCTCTTTTTTTTCTTTAAATAATCTTTCAAAAAATATACTTATATTTACATGTTAATACATCTCTAAGTATTCACAAGCACTTTTATATTTCAAAACTTAAAATTATAACTTTTGATATTCTTTTTTTTGTCTAAAAAAATAAAATGTATACTTTGATACCTTTACAATAGCTCAAAAATACATACTTTATATCTTTTGTATCAAATTTGGACTTCATACAACTTGGTACCTTTGCATATGCAATGTATTAAAAGGACTTTATATATAAAAGATAAGGTTGTCTCTCACTCCAAGCTTGTTGTTCTATTATTAATATAAAAATATTAATTAGACAATTATTTCTTGTATAAAAAATATTAATATTAATTTCTTTTCAAAACTCATATCTATTATTTTGAGCATGAAATGCACTCCTTATCATCTATACAATGGTTTGATTTAAATTTTTTTTTTAGCAATATCAAGTTATTGTAGAATGTATGGAATTCTCCTTTCTCTAGAGATTCTTTCATTCTTTAAGTAAACATAATTTTTTTAGATGTGTACTCACTTCCAATGGCTATTTATAATATATTAATCCTAAATTCACTTTATTTCATAATAAGTGCCATAAATTCCTTAAACCTCCAAAAGTACTCACTTTTGGCTTTAAAAATGTAAATTCAAATATTTTAAAAAAAAATCATTAATAAAAGTCAAGAATTATCTTGTCTCTTCTATACTTGTAGTCTTCATAAGTTCACATATGTGGAGGTAGAAAATCTCTAATACTATAGTAATATATTTAATAATACTAGTTGAAAAAGAAACTCTTTGTTGTTTGTCTTTTATATATCCTTCACATGCAAATTGCATTATATTTTATCTTTTTTTATGAAGATATAAATTACTTACAATGAATTAGAGCTCTTTAAAATTCTTCACATTTAAATAGCTAAGGCAAGAATGTCATATATCAAATATATCTTAGTTTAATATAAATTTAGTAAATGTGACAACTTCTACTTCATTTACTTATTTCTAATTGAAATAATATAAAGTCACATCTTAAGAATCTTTGGCAGTTATGTTTCAAATCAATGTTTTCACAAAACACCCCTTTATGCTTAAATAACTATATAACCTTCCCATACAGTTTGTTTATCAAATAGGATTTTTTTAGATCTTTGGTATACGAAAGACATCTGTAAATCTAATCTTATTGATTGTTCTATTCACAACTACATCCACCATGATAGAATTAATTCCAATAGGCTTACATCTACTACTATCCACCAAGATCATAATTGATATTAGAATAGCTTCATAAATGTCAAAAGGACACTTATAAAGTGTTATATACTTAAAACAATCCAAATTCTCAATCTATCTTGATATAGCAACTATGGAGGTTCTTTCTTTAGCTACAAATGCATGATCTTGTCCTCCAAACTAATCTTGCACATAATTTGCATTTCTCTCTCTTCTTTTTTATTTTTGTAGTAATTTTGAGTAAAATACCTAAATTTTTTATAAAATAAAGAATATCTTTATATAAATTTATTAATTTGAGTAGTTTTTTTTTTCCTTGATATAAATAGAGAGTTAAATTTTCATTTTCAAACAATTTTTTTTTTTTTACTTCATAATTAAGTCTTATTGTTATATAATCTATTGTAAATTCTTTCATTTTAATGGATTTTAAAGCAACAATGAGATAGTTATAGAATTTTGAAAAATTTATAATTAGAATTATAATAGGACTTGCATCTTTTAATGACTTATTTATAATTGCAAGTGAATTTATAAGTGCCTTTGTCTTATTAAAGTATACCATGAGGTCTTTACTTTCTTCTATTTTACAAGTAAAAACTTTATTTTTTATGTGAAGAATGTTAGATGATTTCTTATTTTGATAGATATTATAAAGAATCTTTCATGCTTTTATTAGTCCTTTATAAGTAATAATGTGAGAAAATTTGGCTTTATTAATATTAGTTGTAATCAATTTAAAAGCCTATTTTTTACAATATTTATAATCTTTCTTTTCTTTTATTGTAGCATGCATACTTGGAGACTTTTCACTTTTATCCATGATATTCCAAAGATCCAAAAAAGCCAACAAAAGCTCTATTTTTACCTTCCAATGGTAGAAGTTGTTGCTTTTAAACTTCATAATTATTTTTAAGCTCTCATTTTTACTTAGAGTCAATTCTAAAGAAAAACTATATCAAAAAAAAAAAAAAAAAAAAAAAAAAAAAAAAAATACTCAAAATCATCAAAAAGGGTTTGTTGTTATGTCATTTCAAAATCTCTTCTTTGTGAACAAATTAGTGTTTTGTATCTTAAAACACTCCCAACTTCTTTTTTAAGATTTTTCACAAGTCTTGGCAACAATATAAACTTCACAAATCAATTCTACCACTTATAGATCACATCTATAGTTATATATCACATATTAGTACCATAATAGGATTTTTTAACACCTTAAGCTTCTATCATCACAAAATATATAAATTTGGTCTCTCAAAAATCTAACTCAATAAGTGAAAATAATTCAAGTATTCTAAGACATTTCATTATGGTGCAAATTAAATTCCAAACTTAAATGCATTCAACCACAAATAAGTTCAAAATTAGATCTAAATCTTACTTTCAATATGAAAGTTTAAAGTTCCAAAATCCTAACATCAACAACAATATAATAATCTACTCTTTAGAAATAAAAAGACTTCAAAAAACTTCAAAATACGAGAAAAGATGTATCAATCTATAACCTATTGAAGGAAAGAGAAGCATAAAGTCTAAATGCATAGCATTAGGAAGGTTGGACACAAAGAGAAGTATGGAATAAGATGATTCTCACTTCCAACACCCTTTACTTATAAAGAAGAGAATTAAATCTAATATAGATGAACTTCCTCTACAGTCATCTTTATCATACTTTTCTTCATCTAACCAATTCTTAGATTCTTTTTATATCAACAGCCAGCCAAAATTGTATCTACTAGGCTAATAACTTATCCTATGCCTTTGTTTCTTTCAATCTTAAGTAACTCATTAAGAAAAAATTCTAAGTGGTATTAAGTAAACAATAGTTTGTTGATCTTCAATGATGGTCATACAATTTTGTTGTTGTATTTAAACCTTTTAATCTCATTGATATCCAACTTGTTGAAAAACTTGTATCAGTAGTATATTATTAGTGTGGTGTGGAAGGAGTATCCACACAATATAAGAAGAGTGTCCACACATTAGAAAAAGGGGTGTCCACCATAGAGTTATTTTTTATAAATAATTTATGTTCTTTTACATGAAGATTAGATTCTTAATTTTAATTTTTTGAAGGTGCTTTGTCTTATGGAAATTCAATCAATTTTCTATTCTTTAAATAGGACATGTTGAAACTTCCACAATTACAATATTGATATTTTTGCCTTAATTATTTATAAATTCAACCATTCACTACTTTGTTTGCCTCTAAAAGATCAAATTCAATCTTTCAATCCTTTGTCAATCTTTAAAAACAAACTAATTAAGCACTTCAGAGTGATTTATCTCATTCCTTGAAAACTGAACGAAAAAAGTGATAAAATGAACAACGTTCTTATATGTATTTATTTCAATCGAGGGTTAGGCTTTTGAATCTTTCCCAAATTGAATGTTCAATATTAAATCGTTTGCTTGAATGTAGCTACGCATATTGTGATGAATGTCGATATTATGGAAGATGAATGTTCAATATTAAATCGTTTGCTTGAATGTAGCTACACATGTTGTGATGAATGTCGATATTATGGAAGATGATGTTAATGTATTGTTTCGACTTTGACACAGTTATAGGCATACTTCACCGATTCATCTTGACAACTTAGATGGTTTGAAAAATTCTCGCATCAAATAGCTATTGCATTGGTAAACATGTGATTGTGATAATATTGATGTCTCCAAATGACCACATATGATTCATTCACTTCAGAATTAATTATTTCGACAGAAAGATCCGAACAAGTAGGCACACCCGAGGAAATCCATTTTATCTATAAAAGTATTCATGTGATTGACAAACAACTGATCCCGTAAATCGTGTTTTTGAAAGGAGTTGTAAATTCAGGTTTCATATTGCATTCTGATGAATGTTTCATGGATCGAAGATGAGAAACTATTTCTGGGATCACATCGTTGTGAAGTGGATCTCGTCCAACATTCATGATTAAAACCTGCCCATGATGAAAAGGAACATTCCCTCTTTCTTCAACTTGCAGCAATTTGGAGTGATCGCCCTGTCTGTAATAGTGAATTGACATTCACCAAGCACATAGCTGTACGTTCGTCCCTACACACCTCTTACAACCATCACTACAATTTTGAGCACTACTCCACAGAATTCCTTCTGCAACAATCAAAATTCGTTGCCAATTGGAAGATCCATATTTGGTGTCTTCACTTTTGAGACTACGTACGTGCTTTGAAGACACAAGTTAAATTACAGTGCCTCTAAATGGAGGTCAAAAGAAAGAAATCAACGACGACCAAACCGTCCGCCGCCACCTCCACCTCTGCTCCCACCTCGGCCGTACCCACCACTTCTTCCACCAAAGCCACCTCCTCGACCACCCCTTCCACCAAAGCCTCTGTCTTCACCACCACTACGGTCAGGCTTTACTTGCAACTCAGGTAGCGCGTCCAAAACTTCCACGGTGAAGTTTTCACCTTCTTGTTCTGCTATGAATTCCTCAACACTCCTCGATGGTACATCAAAGACAGCTCCCGTGCAATCAGTAGTAAGATTCATACGCCTGACTTCATTAACTGTTTCTTCAGGCAAGTACTTCCGCAAACAATTGAATGCATACGTGGGAGAGTACATTTTTGTGTTTGCCTTCAGCATCAAGGTTGTAGCATCATCGTGAGAAGTAAGTAGGGACCTTCTCTTCAGCTCTGTTTGACCAGAAATTTTGGCAATGGCCTTGGCAAGGACGTCTAGTACAGGCAAACCACTGCTCTTCACAAGGTCCTCAGCTGCTTGACGGAATAGTGGTATCACGGTATCGGAGACTGCTAAGACACCATCTGTCGCTGTGTTGCCACTAGCCTTGGCAATGTCTGCAGGTTGAGGAGCTGCAATCCGCTCAAACTTGAACCCAGCCTTCCGTTCGATCTGAGGGATCATGTACTCCTTCTTCCTGTCGTAAAACAACACAGAGATACCAGTATTTCCAGCTCTTCCTGTCCGCCCAGACCGATGGATGTAGGTTTCGGCATCACGAGGAGGTTCACACTGCCAAATAACAATAGAGTAGCGATCAAAACGATCAGTGACGACATCCAGCAATACGATTCTCTACCAGACAGAGAAAGTTACATGCGCCAAGAACATCTAAAGTGCATTCGAAGTGAAGTACCTGAATCACCAACTGAACGTCATTGATGTCTAATCCTCTGGCGGCCACATCCGTTGCAACCAGAACACTGAACTTGCTCGTGCGAAACCCTTGAAGTGTCACCTCTCGCTGATTTTGAGGGATATCCCCATGCAGAGCTCGTGCAGTTCCACTCTTCAAGACTCCTGCCAACTCCGAGGCGTCGTTCTTGGTCTCAGTGAAGACTATAATGCGGCCTCCGCTGCCATAACACTGAATGACGTCTTGCACAAGCTGAGTTCGCATGGAATAGTGACCTGGAAGCAACAAGTGCTTCACATTGTTGCTAGCCTTCATCTTCTCATCACCAACCAAGTCAACAGTTCTCCTCTCAGGCTTCAAAAACTTACGGGCAATCTGCATTCACATACGAATGAAGAAACCGATGAATTCCGACGGCGAGTATAAATCCACTATCATACAGCTCACACAATCTAAATACTTAGTGAAAAATTAAAATATACCACTATTAATTCGTAGAGTGAATCAGTGAAAATTCGCATAACACATGCGCCTTTATGCACTTCGTAAATCAAAGTTGAAAAGAAAAGATGCGGTAAAGATATTGAATGAACTATACCTGTTGAACCCACGTGGGCAGAGTTGCACTAAAAAGTAGAGTTTGAACCTTCGATGGATCATCAACGCCGCCTGCCGATACGTCAACCACTTCAATAATTAGGAAAACTGATTCCACCAAATGTCAGACAGGGGTACAGAAACTACTGTAACAATCCAATTAAGATCACTGAAAATGTGCATAGAGAAGCTCTGAAAATACCAAGAATTTTCTCTACGTCGTCCACAAACCCCATATTGAGCATTTCATCAGCCTCGTCAAGTATACGAAACTTCAAGGACTTCAGATTCAATCCGCCCCGCTCCAAGTGATCCTAGGCAAGTTAAAAACGCATTAGCCCAAAACCAAAGTTTAAGATAACATGACTGAAATCGTCCATTATCTTGGATGTAGTAGTCCAAGAAATAATAAATCACACGAATGAAAACTCACACTACCTTGATTCGACCAGGAGTGCCGACGACGATATCAACACCTCTCCTTAGAGCATTCTCTTGTGGCCCGTAAGGGGCTCCACCATAGACACAAACGGTGCTCAATCCAACTGCATTCCCGTAAGTCTCAAAGTCTGCATGCACCTGAATGACTCAAACGTAGGTCAATATCGATGGAATTTAAAGATATATACAATTATATCGTACTTTGATAAAAGACTGGAGTCATGTGCGGTAACTTCATACAACAGAGTGATTCCGAGTCCCACAAATCTTACTTGTTTCGCTAATTCACGGGTAGGTGCAAGAACGATGACAGCGGGAGCTCGGCCTCTGCCGAGGCTCTTCGTATAACCGCTCTGACTCAAAGACTCCAGAACGGGCAGCACAAACGCCAGAGTTTTCCCCTGAAAAAAAACAATAAAAGGACTCTCAGATTAAAGGTTTATGATTCTCACATACCCGACTTAGGTTATTACTCCAAAGTTTAGAAAATATATTAAAAAAAATTAAGCGATATTTAATTCCACAGAAAAGGCATCTAGACACAACAGACGCTGTAACCCTTACTGCTGCAACAATGACCCAGCCACTATTAAACCAACGTTAGGGAAGTGTCATAAAATGAAACACAATCAGGTTCTATAAAGACAAAAGTGGGAGGACAACCTGTCCTGTGCGTGCTCGGCCAACCATGTCATTCCCTTCGAATACAGGTTCGAAAGTCTGAGCCTGAATCGGAAAGAGCGCTTCGATACCCTTAGACTTTAACTTTTCTCGCAAAAGCTTGCCAATACTGAAATTGGAGACAGACATGGGATCCATAGCAGCACCAGCCTCTTTGCCTCCATCCTCTACGACCTTCTGAATCTTCTTCGCCGTAACGCCATCATCCTGAGGAGACTTGGCCCTCTTCTTTTTAGACACCTTCGCCGGCTCAACCTCCATCGTATCACCGTTCATTGTAACGGTAGACCCTTCAACGGCCTGCGCCTCCGCATCCACCTTCTTCTCTTTTTTCTTCTTTTTCTTCTCAGACTCCGGACGCGGTTGAAGCGCCGCCGCAGACACCTCTTCGTCGGAGGATACGGCAATCTTCTTACTCTTCTTTCCACTTTCTACGGCCACATGGCCAAGCTCCATAGCAACTGGTCCCGGCATCTTTGATGACGAAGAAACCTCCAAACACAAAACTAACCTTAATCCAAGTCTTCTACAGCTCGCTGGGATCTCCACACACTCCGGCGAAAAATTGCGCCTCGAAACACAGAAATATAAGTGACAAATGCTCTCAATTGTCAAGTACTGAGTGAAACAAACTCGAAGTACTAAAGCTCTCTTTGTGATGAGGTGGCTCCACAAAGACTAAGCCAAATTGAGATATTTTAGTGCAGTGTTGTATGAAAACTCGATCCCAAGGTGACAATGAGTCAACCTGTGCGATCGATCAAACAAACCTCCCTCGGAGAGCTCGATTACGAGCTGTGCCGAGACAAATGGAGGTGGAAAAGGACCGGTCTCATTGCAGTCTCGGCACTTAACCCTCCATTGAAACCCTAACCCTGTCGCCCTAAGTTCTTCAAACTTTAAAGTGGAACTGATGAAACTTTTACTTTGTAACGCCTTTCTCTTTTTATTGTGTGCGGCGCTTGAGCACAGTGAGAACACGCTCTCGGAAAATTCACGAGTTTGAGAAAGCATGTTGTGAAGAGAGAATGAGAAAAATAATAAAGAGCTTTAATTATCGATGTTTGCTCGTACAACTTCATTTTAAAAATTAAAAAACTAAAAAATTAATTCATTTTTTAAAATATTACTATTTTTTCCAGAAGTGTGATTCTATCATACTAACTATATGATAATAAGAAGAAGAAGAAGAAGAAGAATAAAATCTTGTTTTTTACTTACATCAGAACAATTATAATATAAAGTCTTTTTACGAAGATGAGGCATGTTTATGGTTACAAATAAAATAAGTAAATTCGACTAAACTGTAAATACGTTGATTTATGTGTGCAAGACTTGATGTGGGTTCAATGGCTATTTTACTTGAATTTTAAAATTCAAATTTTTGTTATGTTAATCAAGGGATTTAAACAGAACTTTAAAATTCTACATAGAAATGCACCTATTTTTTAAATAGACCCATAATTTTACTAAATAGATCCACCCTTGATGAAAAATATGACAATCATGATAAATGTGGTTGACTTTTATTGGTTGCAAATCCAATGATGGAGAAACGGATCTATAAATCATAATTTATTTTTTCATGATGGTTAAGATGGGTGGATTAATTAGTAAAAACTTGGATCTATTTTGTATTTTCCTATATTTATTAAAAAATAGAAAAATAAAAGTAAAATATAAAAATTGGAATATGCTTTGATTTTATAAATGCTTTAAAAATCTAATTAAGAGCATATAATATTGAATTATTTTAAGTTTAGTTTTTAAACTAGAATAATTTAAAATCATGTGTGTATATATATATATATATATATATATACATATAATGTTTATCTTATTAATTAATTTTCTAAATTTTAGTAATCTCTAATAATTAAGCAAAGTTTTGCAAACCAACTTTTTTTATGATGCATAATTATATTAATTTCTTATTTATGATAATTAATTTATTTTTATTAACTATTATTAACTAATAGAAGTAATCAATAGAGACCACATGGATAAGAGAGCCACAAGGTTATATGTAATTAGTCAAAGCAAGGCCACATGGCTCCTATGTCAAAAGTGACTAGCTTTGATTGAAGAGGCATAGTAAGAATGATTTCTATCATGCCTTCAATGCACTACTTCTAATTCTTAATAAACTTTGATAAATATATTTTTTCTTATAATAGATTATAAATAATAGCACAAAGAACATTATGCATATATATAAGAAATTAAAAAAAAAAATCTCTTATTGTGCTATTCAAAACTTTCTATTGAATCTATATTTTGTCAAAAAATATTTTATTCTTACATATTATTGTATTTATTATTATTTAATATCATAAATTTTAATAAAAAAAATATTATACTAGTATATTATTTTTCAAATTAAAGTACATAAATTAGAAGATATTATTCCATAAAAAATGTTATATTATTCAAAAAATTATTATTTTATTTTTTGAAATAAAAATATATGCTATGTAATATTTTAATGTAATTTAATTTTAGTATAATCATCTCATATTTTTAAATCTATACATATACTCTAAAGAATTCAATATATCTTAATATTTAAAGAATTAAAATTGATAAATTTATATTTTTTTGTAATAACTTTTTATTAAAGAAAATTTATTCTTTAAATATATTGGTAATTTTTTTTAATTATTTAATATATAATCTTAAAATATACAAGTCTTACAAGATTTTTCTTATAAAATCATGAATTTAAAAATTTTATTGTGTATTATAAATTTATTACATGTATTTTTTTTGTAAATATTAGTGTACCTAAATATTTGGATCAAATATATTGAACTTTGGAACATACTTGTCATGATTTGAGAGTAAAAAGAGGAAAATGATTATATACCTTTCTTATATTTTTTTTTCCTAAAGATATTCCATTCATTTGATTGTAAGTTAAAAAGTACATAATATTATCTATATTTTATATTATCTATGAACTTAATAATTTATTATTTATATATACAAAAAAATATATCTAAACAAAACTATAATATTATAGTAATAATCTTTATAAATAGGTATTTGATATTTTTAATATATGTATATATATATATCTTTTATAATGATTACTTTATTTTTCTAAAAATAAATTATTTACAAAAAATCAAAAAATATATTGTATAAAGTATATTTTATTTTTTTAATATATATATATATATATATATATATATATATATTTACATATATACATCTATTAGATTATTTCTTTTTTTATTTGATTTTTTACAATATTATATTATCAATTAATATTAGATTAAAATGTTACCATGAAATTTATATGGTTATATATATATATATATATATATATATTCATATATAAATCATAAGAATCTATATTTTTTAATCATAAAAATACGATATTCTAAAGAATAAAAATATAATATACTTAAATTAATTAATTAATGATAAGTGTATTTTTGAAATATCATCTTCTAATTTTTGAGAGTCCAATTATAATATGTTTCCTACTTCCTCCCAAGCATCATTTTAATAAAATAACTCATTATTTTTTTACTTGTATCGTTTAACTATTGTTCTCTTATTATAAGATTTTTACTATGGATGCAGAAAAACTCAACCTTTTTCAGTTCTTCATTTCAATGATTCTTCTTTGTCACTCATTATCTTTCATGGATCATGTATCCTTAAGCATTTCCAAAGTCTTTCACTACATCTATGCTTCTATAAAGGTTGGACTTGCAACAACATCATATTGTAAGAACATTGGATTTTGATTAAAAAAAGACCATTAAATGAAGATGCAAGATTTTTTTGATCTTTTTAAAAACTACAAGTAATGTCTTTCTAAAAGACTGTAAGTTGTTTAAAATATTGATAATGTTAAATTTTATTATTTCGTATAAAATAGTAAAAATATTATATGTAAATTAAACCTTGATATTCTATTTAAAATCATAATTTTACTAGTTTATAGAACATGATAAATTTTTAGTTTAAAATATTATTTTTTAAATTTAAGATCATATCTTTTTATTTAATCAATTACTTGGTGATATTTTGTAATATGAAAAGAATATTATTTTTTTAAAATCAAGAATTATTGTTATATTTTACTTTTTAATAAGTTATTTTTAAGTTGTTTTAAAATAAAAATAAACAAATAAATATCAAAAAATTAAAATAAATTTTTATCATTTTATTAAAATAACTACATTATAATAATTTAATATCGTAAACTTAATGTTTTGTTCAATATATATATAATTCTTATTTACTTTGAATTATTTATGATTATTTGTAAAGTACTTAATTTTATTCAATTAAACATTGTCAAAACTTTTAATTTTATCTAACCTGATTTTTTAAATTTGAGTAAAAATATATATATATATATATATATATATATATATATTCATAGATTTAATCCTTAGTTTAAAATCTCATATACAAATGATAGAATAAATTATTGAAATTAGCAATTTGTTTACACCTAAAAGCCTACTTTGAAAGCCTATAGTACAAAAATTCAATGAAAGTCATTTGATAAATAAAAAAAAGTTGTTTTATTTTAATGCTTAGCTTTTGAAGATAGCTTTGAATTCAATTTATAGATATTAATTAGTAGAATCATTAAAAATATAGTTTTAAGTTATTTAAATATAAAAATAATAAGATTAAAGAATGTTATTGAAATTTTTTTAATCATTTATTAGAATTTAGAAGGTTTTATAAGTTGCAAGAATATTATTAAAGAAAAAATTATAAAAATGGAATCTTAATAAGTTTTGGAGGTAATTATCTTACATGGTTAGTTTTTATGTTTTTCATTTTTAAAATTAATATTTAGCTATTGAGACTTATGCCTATATTGGCTTTTAATCTACAAGTATTATTTACCAAAATAAAATCTATAAATTTTAATTTGTAGTTAAAATTGAAGCCTTAAAAAAAACCTCATGTTTTTTTATTCATTAATGTAGAAAATATGATATTTAATAAATTTAAATTAATTCTATTATTATAAAAAATAAAAAATATAATAATAATATAGTATTATAAAAAATTAATAGAAAATTTTAATTCCTATTAATAATTAATTTAGAATTTTTAAAATTAATTCTTAAGCTTTTGATAAAAATTGATTTTTATTCCATTGAAAAGTTATTATGAAGAAATTGAACAAAATTTGAAGGCCATAAAAAGTTTTTATACTAATTGGATGTTTTTTAAAACTATAATATAGTCAAAATTGTAACAAAAAAAATAAAAACAAATAAAAAAATCATTAGTAGAAAATGTGAAGATTATAAACTAATTTAGTATTTATAAGAAGAGAGGTGCATAAGTTCCATAGGTTGTGGCACCTTAGATGTAGGTAGGAGTATATAACTAAAGCCTTGTAGCTTCTCTAAGACATCCATATATACTACTTGAGAGTCTTGGTCATGCTCAAATCTTTAACTTAAGGAAGTTATCCTTGAGGTAAAATATGTTTATTAAATTTTTCTATCATTTACTTGTTATCTTTTAATTATCATAACTTATTTATAATAACTTAGATTTTAATGTTTTTCATGTTATTTTAAAGATAAAAAATTAAATACCTAATTTTTATTTAGATAAATTTTTGATAAATAGACTTTGACTAGTTTTATAAAGTGTAATTACTTGATTACAATTCTTTTACTTCTTTTATGTTCTTCTTTATTTCTTATTATTTGCTTATTTTACTTTGTATTAAAAATTATAAAAAATTTATAATTGAGGTTATTTTGTAATTTGGATTAAAGAATAAACTTTTTTATTACAATAGTCCTGAGTAAAAAGAAATAATAGAATGGACCAAATTATTTAT